GCTTCCAGCAGGCATTCGCTTCTGGTCACTGACCTGACCGGTTTGATGACTCTCTAGTATTTTACCTTTTGGCATTTTGGTAAGATTACGACAGCATCTATTGTCTGCTGTAGCATTTTCTTGTTCTAGTGTTCGAATAGTTATAGTCACTCCGAAGTCACCTGCCCACCGAGCAACACGGAAGTGCAAGAAGTAGTCTTTACGTGCAAAGGAGAAATGCAGGGTGGGCGCGTTGCCAGGCGCCCGGGGCCCCCCGTCCGCACCTGCAGCCCCTGAGCCCCTGCGGGAGCAGCGCCGTGTCCCGCAGCAGCGCTGGAGCCACGTCGGTCCGGGGCGCCTCGTGCTGTGGCCGGCTCCCTCCAAGCCTGGCCGGTGTGCCACGGAGCCCCAGGTCAGCGGCCTCCCCTCCCAGCCCGGGCCTGCTGCGCTCCGGGCTGGGCGCAACGCTCCGGGCAGGCGGACCCCGCGCCTATTTTTAGAGGCCTTCTGGTCAGGGCCTGCTGGCGAGGCGCAGGCCAGCTCCCAGCCTTCCCCGCGGCTCCGGAACGGCTCGAGATAAGGAGCGCGCGGGGGGGGGGGGGGCGGCCAGGCCAGGCGTCTCTACGACAGATAGAAAATAAATAGTGCCGGTCGCACAGAGCATCGCCGACAGGCCGGCCCGGCCCCCGCGCAGGCCCAAAACGCGGAAGCTCCGCAGGTGGGTGGCCGGCGGCACTTGGGCTGGCCCGGCGCCCGGGAGCCACCAGGCCAGCCCGTGCCGGTGGCAGGAGCCAAGCGGCCGGCTCACTCCCAGGCAGCTCCTGAGGCTTCCGCGGAGGGAGGCCGGCCCAGGCCCAGGCCCAGGGCGAGCCTGGCAGGCCAGCCGGGACCCTGGCCCCGCTCCACACGCTTGAACTCCGGGGCCTGCATGCGCGGCGGGTGCCAGCTTTCTCACATACACAAATACCCATCCATCTCCTCGCGGCGCGCTTCCCACAGCGCCCTCCATGCGCAGGCTGGGCGGTTGCGCCCGCGTCTCCATGGGGACGGCCAAAATATTAGTCCAGCAGCTCTGCAGAGCGGCGGGGGGCGGGTGGGGGGAGTGGACGGTGTCGCCGCAAAGGAGCTGCCGGCAGCGCCGCCCTGGGGTGCCACGATCCACCCGGGCTCTGGAAAGCCCGGCATCCTGCATCCCGCCCGCCTTCTCAGACGGATCCTCCCGAATGGCCCAAAAGCTTCCCCGGATCCCGTCAGAGCAGCGCAGAGGCTGCCCCGCCACGCGCCATCCAGCCCGCAGACTGGGACCCTTGGGCAGCCGTCCCCGGGGAGGAGGAGCCGAGCAACCCACGCAGCCCAGCCCTCCACGGCAGCGAAAAGAGGAACGGGGCAAGAGGGGCGCTGGGCCTCGTGGGGGGAGGAAGACACCTACGCCAGACCCCCGTGCCCGGCAGCACTGCCCGCCCGGACACCCCAGGGAGGAGGGTCTCCTGGGACTGTGCAGGAGATCAGCCGGGCCTCTGGCACTCCAAGAAAGCCATGGCTGGCTGCGGGAAACCTGGCAGGGGCACGCGAGCCCCACGGCTGGTGCCGAGGAAGGGCTGTCGCACTCCCGTCACCCCGAACCCAGTGGGGCCTCCCATGAGGCTACCGGGGCAAGGAGAGGGTCCAGACGCCCAGAGAAAGGGCTTCCTTTGCAGAACCAATCGGGGGTCTCCGCCGCAAGACTGGGCGGGGGCCCCGGCCAGCAGCATTTCTTAAAGAGCACGGAAAATCCGTGGGGAAGAGTTCTGCCTACTTAGCCCCCAGGAGCCCCCGCCAGCCGACCACTGCGGCACACGCCCCGGCACCACGAGCCGCTCCTGCGACCCCGATGGCCCTCTGCACAGCAACCTGCGTTAGTGGCACCAGGAGTGTGCGCGAGCGGCAGCCAGGCCGGGGGGCGGGGGGGCGCTTCCAAGCCTGACACAGGCCTCCCTCCCTCCAAAGGCCGTCGTGAGAACCCCCCCCGCGCCTCACACACGGCCAGCGCAAAACGCCCCGCCGCCACTCTCGCCGACAACAGTGCCCAGGCAGCAGGCGCTGCGCCACCGGCCCCGCTTGAGCGCATCCTTCCAGTCACAGGCCAGTGGAAGCTTCTGTGCTACATGGATGCTCAGGGCAGACCCCAAGTGCTCCCAGGCGGAGCGGGCGAGGTGCTGCATGTTCTGAGCCTGGCCGGAGAGGCTGCCTCCACAGAGGCTGGGCGCGCGGTGCACCAAGCCGAGCTCCGGCATGTTTCTGGGCCTCCCCCAGCGCGGGGGTGTCCGACGATCCGAAATACCTTTTCTAGCTAGACAAGAGCCTCGTGGCGCTCCCACGGCCACGCCTCCCTCCCGGGTGGGCTCTGTGGGCGTGCTGAGCCCCGGGAACGGGCAGCTTCAAATGAGCCACGACCTTGCAAGCTTCCTGCGCTTCTGCCATGCAGACCAGCTGCAGAACGCTGCAGCCAAGGGGCCACGGCGGCTCCAGACCGGCCCCCGCGCAGCACACAGACCCTGGTGGACAGCTGCCCACGCGTGGCACGGCTGGGGCTTGCTGAGCCCCTGGAAGCGCCTGTGCGCCCCAACATGCCCGGTTCATGCAGCACACCGGAAGGTCAGAGACTGGCCGAGGGTGAAGGAGGCGGGAGGCTGGCTCTCCCGCTCGAGGTGCACAGAATCCCTGCGCCACCGGCTCACTTCAGAATACGACTGAAACCAGGATGTGCCCAGGCGGCCGGGGACTGCCGCCCGCCCGTTGCTGCGTCTGCCGAAAGCATCGCTACCAGCACACGAGGGCCCCGTGCACGGGCCTGGAGCCCAGCCCAAGGGAGTCTCCGCAGCTGCAAGCAACGCGGGCGATCCCGGAAGCCCGTGCGGCCCATGGGACCCTCCTGGGCTGGGAGGAAGGGGCGCGGGGCAGCAAAGCGGGGGAACGGTCGGAGCGGGGTGGCAGAACCCCCTGGCTCTGCCCCGGCGCCCGCGGAGGGGGAAAGGCTGCCCGACACCCGGAGGGGGGAGCCCCTCGGCCAGTCTGGGCTGGGCAGAGAGCCGGCACTGCTCCCTCCTGCCCCCGCGGCCCCAGCTTCTCCCCTGCGAGCGGAACTGCCACTGCTCCGGAAAGGGTCACTCCTTCTGCGGCCCTCTCACCGGGTCTGCCCACATGAGTCGGGGGTCGGGCACCCGTGGTGGGACCGGGGGAAGCCCAGGAGGCCTCCGCTGCTGCAGGAGCCACGCCAGTCCTTCCATAGGTTCCGAAATGCTTGGCCCGCCTGCATATTGGCCATGAAAGAGGTCCAGTTCTGTCACACCATAGAGTCAGACTGCTATTTTTATGACAATGTTCTAATGGTGCAACATCAAGAAAACCAAGATCACGGCATCCGCTCCCCTCACTTCCTGGCAAACAGATGGGGAAGAAATGGAGGTAGTGGCAGATTTATTTTCCTGGGCTCCAAGATCACCACAGACGGGGACCGCAGCCAAGAAACTAAAAGACGCTTGCTCCTGGGGAGGAAAGCTATGGCAAATCTAGACAGCATACTAAAAAGCAGAGACATCACCCTGCCGACAAAAGTGCATATAGTCAAGGCGATGGTTTTCCCAGTTGCAATATATGGCTGTGAAAGGTGGACCATAAGGAAGGCTGAGCACCGAAGGATTGAGGCCTTCGAATTGTGGTGCTGGAGGAGACTCCTGCGAGTCCCTTGGACCGCAAGGCAATCAAACCAGTCAGTCCTAGAGGAGATCAACCCCGACTGCTCTTTCGAAGGCCAGATCCTGAAGATGAAGCTCAGATACTTTGGCCACCTAATGAGAAGGAAGGACTCCCTGGAGAAGAGCCTGATGCTGGGAACAATAGATGGCAAAAGAAGGAGGGGAGGGCAGAGGATGAGGTGGCTGGATGGGGTCACTGAAGCAGTTGGTGTGAGCTTAAGTGGACTCCAGGGGATGCTGGAGGACAGGAAAGCCTGGAGGAGTGTTGTCTACGGGGTCGCGATGGGTCGGGCACGACTTCGCGACTAGCAACAACAACAAATGCTGCAATACTATAATGCTAATTTTTAGAAATCTACAAACTTTCAAGTTACCACTGTTTTAGGAATCTCATGAATGGTGGTAAACAGAAAAAGCAATTAAGCATCCTTTCTTTGAAAGAAATAGCAATTACAGTGCCACAGCCCTAGACTGCCCTTTTCTTTTATGCACTCACTGACACACACGAGTCCAGAAAGTACTCCGGGACTAATCAAAGAATCTGTCGGAAAAAGGAACCTGGCCTTCAGGGGACACCTGCCACCTGCAAGGGCGATCGTGCGCTGGCGTGGGCCTGGCGTGGGCTCCCCAGGAGGGGGCGGCCCAGGCCAACACGGCCCGCCCCCCTTTTGGCCAGAGAGGGCAGCACGGACCGCATCCGCCCCGCCCCGCCCCGTCACGCTCCTGTGGTGGGGGCACTGGCCCGAGGGACGCCCCTCCAAAAGCGAGCCATTGAGTCGGAGCAGCCCTCCCCGGCCCGCATACGGCGGTCCAGGCGGTGCTGGGGGGATTCACGTCCTACGGTGAGCCTTCGCCGTCCCCCCGCTTCCTAATTCCCCAAAGGGGGCTTCTCCGAGAAGAGCAGCCAGCCGCCCAGCACGCGATTCACACGCAGAGGAAGCCAAAGGGGAGGCCAGGCCGCCACCACGCCCCCCACCCGCCCCATCCTCTGCGCTGGCCCCTGGGGGTGCTTCTCGGGGGGAAGCCGCAGAGGCTGCCCTTTTGGGGCTCACAGGTGGCTGGGATGGCGCTGCCCACCAGACGCTCCCGAGACCTTGTCCGCAAGGGAATGGCCCTGCCCAGCCGGGAGAAGAGGAGACCGCGGGCACAAGAGGGGCCTCCAGGCCACGGAGCACCCCCGCATCCCTCTCAACCGCGGCTCAGCCCTCAGGGCGACACCAGCAGGAGATACGAGGCGAGGAGCAGCCCCCCCGCCCCCCGGACGCAGAGCGGGGCTGCCGGTCTTACCGTCCTTCCGGTAGAAGCAGATCTCCACCTTGCGCTCCTCGGAGCCCAGCAGGGCTTGGGCGATCTGGGCCACGGCGGCCTTCTGGGTGCGCGGCCCGTACAGGAAGTCGCAGGTGCAGGGCTTCTGCATGACCTCGGCGCGGGTGTAGCCGCAGAGCCCACAGAAGCCGTCATTGCAGTAGATGATGGCGCAGTGCTGCACCCGGGCGTTGGCGATGATGAACTTGCGGCCTGCGGCGGAGGGAGAGACGGGCTGCGGAGGCCGGCGGGCACTGCCCCCCCACGGCCCAGAGGCAGGGCCCCGCGCGGAGCCCCCTCCCCAGGAAGACGGCCCCGAGGGGTCTCCTCCCACGGCCCACAGCGCCACGCCAGCCCCGGGGCCCCTGCCCCCTCGACGCGGGCTCCGGCCGGCAGGGCCAAGGAGGCGGCGGTGCCCAGGCCCTCGGCAGGCAGGCGGGCCGGCCGGCCACGTGCGCTCGGCTCTGAGGAAACCGCCCTGAGCCGAACAGGGGCGCACGTGCCTGGGCTGCAGGGAGCCGGGCTGAGTCGGCGGAGAGCAGCGCTCCACAGCGAGGAAAACCCGAAAGGAAGGCGTTCAAGGGGGATGGGAGGTCCGGGAAAGGAGGGGCCGCAAAGGGTGGGTGGGGGGGAGACAATAGGAGGGGCTGGAGTGGCCCCCCAAAGCACTTGGCAACGCTCTGAAAGCCCAAAGGGGCACCCCAAAAAGCCGTTTGCAGGGCCTGGTCAGCTGGGAGCCATAGTCTGCAGCCGCGGAGATGGAGGGCTGCCCAGAAAGGCCCCGAGGGGGCGCGGAAGTGGCCCCGTCAGTAACAGAAGGGGCTCCTCGCCTCCCGTTCGGAGAACAGCAGCGGCAGGCCAGCTGGGCGCGCAGGTGGAGGAGGAGCTGGGGCGGCCTGGCCAGGGGCGGCACGGCGCTCGTTATTGCGCCGGTTCCGTGGCCGGGCAGGTGGACGATGCCACCAGCCCCGTGTCCCCACAGGGCCGTCCGGCAGAGCTTTTCCGGGTGGTGCGGGGCCTCTTGCCCCTTGCCCCCAAAGGAGCACTCACCGAGGCTGCACTGTGAGGACTCGGCAGAACTCTGAGAATAATATCACCGGGGTTCGCTCCGGATGGGCCGCCGGAGCGATCCCAGCCCCCTCGGCAGAAGGGCCCGCAACATCTGGTCCCGTTTCGCTGGATCCACTTCAGCTACTGAGGACGTCGACAAGCCCGGCCTGCCCCTGCATGCGCACCCCTTGCCCACCGCGGCGCATCAGAAGGTCCAGGAGGGGAGTCTCCCCCGGGTCCCGGAGGCCGTGAATGGCTCCCTGAAAGAGCGGGTGGCGTGGCCCCGGCCCAACCTGGACCCCGAGATGTGAATAGCTATGGACGGACAGGCATGGCGATGCGGAGAGTGGGGGCCAGGCCGCTCCTGGCATGCTCGGGGCGAATGGGCTACCTGGATCCAGGCCCCCGATTTGCCGCCCCGCCGGCCACACGCCTCCCTGGGCAGCGGGCCACACGAGCAACACCCACGCCATTCCAGCGGGGCCGGAGGCCGCCTGGGTGGCCACGCGGGAGGACCTCTGCCAGGAGAGGCAGGTGCCGCGCGGCCTGTCGATCCTCCGCGGCTTCCGTGCCATCTGGAGAGGCTGGTCCGGCCGGGAGCGGCAGGCACCGCTTGGCAGTGGCTCTGCCCCTGCCTGGCCAGCCGCCTCCAGACGGCGGTGGTGGTGCTGGGGGTGCTGCCTGTGCCCCGGCACGGGCCACGGAGTTCTGCGGGGTTCACTTTGTCCCCCCTGCTTTTCCACACCTACGTGAAACCACTGCGAGGCCGTCCGGAGGCCTGGGCTGAAGGCGCTCGGCTCCACGCCTTTCCCAACCAACCCAGGCAGGGCAGCCAACGTGCGAGGCTGGTTCCTAAACTCAGCGATGGGCTGGATGAGGGCCAGTAAGCAGAATCTTAATCCGGACAAGATGAAGGCGAAGTTGGCAGGCAGACCGTCCCTCCAACCGGGAAATTTTCAACCTGTCCGGGATGAAGCTGCACCCCCAAAGGACAAGCTTCATAGCTTGGGGATTCTCCTGGACCCCGAGTTGTCCCTTGTTTCTCAGGTGGAACTGGAGCACCTTCTATCATCCTGGGCTGATTTCTCAGCTACCTTCCTCCCTGGGTGAGCAGAGACCCGCCGCAGCGATCCATGTGCTGGTAGCGGCTCGCCTGGGTGGGGCTGCCTTGCGCACAGTTCAGCCCAAGGGCTGGTGAGGAGCAGCCCTTGGGAACGCGCGATGCCAGTCCTCCGCCGGCCGCACCGGGTGCCTGTCGCTGTGCGGGCCCAATTCAGTGTGGCCACGCACAGCCCTGAGCCAGCTCGTGGGCAGGAAGTGTGGGCGACTGCCTTTCTCCATGTGTTCCCGGCCATTCACTAAGGTCGTCAGCAGAGGTCCTTCTCTGCGTAGCTGCCCGCAAAGAAGTGGGGGGCAGCAAGGAGGTGGCAGGCCCCGCTGACAGCATGCCCGGGAAGCGAGCCGAGCCTCTTCACCCGCCTCTTTCAGGTGCCAGGTAAGGCCGTGCGGGCTTGAACAGGCTTCAATAGCTGACAGGGTCTTTAAACACTGTCCTGAGGTTATCGTTGCTTGAATTTTTGCTTTGGATGGCCAGGTTTTCTATTTTATTCCCTGTGTTTTATACTGAATTGCTTTGTTTCATTGGTTTTATGCGGCTTTAATGAATTGTGCTCTTGTCATTTTAAATTGTTTCAGAGGCTTTCTTGTAAGCTGCCCAGAGAGCCTCGGGGCTACGGGACCGCTTATCGAGGCAACTAATAAACAAGCCACCAAACCCAGGCTTGACAGGTGAAGAGGAGGGCCAGCTGCTCCGCTCGGCTCCCAGAGAGGGGCCCTGGCCCCCCCGATGAGGGAGGGCGGCCGAGGGCGGCTGAAAGGCACTCTGACAATACCGAACGGGGAGGCAGGGCCCGGACAAAGGGCCTGCGGGGCACTGATGGAGCTGCGGGTGGGCCTCTCCAAGCCCTGGCTCTCTCCGTGGCACACTGAAGAAGGGGCAAAGCACCGGAAGGCCGGAGGAGGGCCACGCTCCGTGTCAACTGCCAGGACAGGCGTCCTTCCTGAACCGAAGGATGCACAGAAAGAGACGCGGTCCCCGCATACGCTCAGTGAAGCTGCCTTCTCCACTTGTGCAAGGGATGAGCAGAAGCCCTGCGTCTGAACTGCGGGGGGGGGGGGGGGGGGGGGGGCCTGGGCGGGGGGGAAGGCCGGGAAGGGGCGGCACGGCCCGGGGGGGGGGGGCAGCAGAGGGTGTGAGCGGCCGACAGCCCTGCCGGCCTCCCCCCCACAAGACCCCCACGCCGCAGCCCAGCTCTTTCCTCTCCCTGGGATGTTTATTCAGCCCCTTTCTCCTCCATAAAATTCCACTGCCAAAGTATTTCGAGATGGTTATCAGCTCCTCCTGCTCTTCTCAAGGCTAAACATCGGCGCAAACTGTTTAGCCTTCCTTCCCGTGGCCAGCGGCCTTCTTGCTCCGCAATCCTCCCCGGCTGGTCTGCCTCGGCCTGCAAACGCAGCACAGGCAGGCCCACCCGAGCCAAGCCGAGCTGAGCCGAGCGGCTGCTCGCCCGAGGAGTCCGGCCTGGCGGGGCCCCAGGGAATGGCCCCGGGCCGGAGGGGGACCCAGCAGCCCCGCCACCCCAGGCCACAGCCCCGGGATCGCATGGCAGAGGGAGGGAGGCGCTGCCAGGCGGAGCCCTGCACCAGCTTGCCCAGGGCTGCTGGAGAGCGAGGCAGCTGAGCATCTGCCTGGACGGGTGCCTCCTCCCAGGCCAGCCCCGTCCGTGGAGGGGCTGCGGCAGGCGGGGCCCTTCCAGGCCCGGCGGTGCTTCTCCGCAGCACTAGCCACACGCGGCCTGAACGACCGACCGGCACACACGTGGGGCTGCAGGTGTGGAAGGACAACCCTGCGCTGCCAACAGGTCGCCTCAGTCGGTGTGGCTCGTTCGTCTCCATCTGGTCTGACGCTCTCGCCTCATGAGCGGCACGGTGAGCAGAAGGCGAGAGAGGCAGATGGCAGGAGAAATATTTTGGCGGGGGGCCGGTCGCTTCCTAGTCCCTGGCAAGGCCCCTGCAGCTCCCCACCAGCAGCAGGGAATAAACAACGGATTAGCGGCATTGCCACTCAATTCTGTGTGCGTGTGCGTGTGTGTGTGTCTGTGAGAGAGAGAGAGAGAGCGCTTTCCCAGCCCGCACCACCTCTCCACGCAGCTCCTCTCCGGATCCATGTGGAGGGCACACCTGTGGCACCGGGCACTACGCACTCGCGCCCGGTGCCACATGTGCCTCTGCACTGCCGCTCACCTGCATCTGGCCACCGATGCGCACGGGCTGCCGGGTGCGGATGAGTGTGCCGGCTTCCCTCCCTCCCTCCCTCCCTCCCTCCCTCCCCAGCCAGCATCTGCCCCCACCCCCCGGGCACAAGCCGGTCCCTCCAGGACCCACGGCAGCCTGGCTCCAAGACCCCCGTCCAGACTCTCTGCAGTGGGGGGCAGAGGGGCACCAGAGCACTGCCACGCCACACTGGGCCATGGCCAGCAGGCGCCACCGGGCCCGCCCTCCCCCGCGTGGCCAGCCAGCCTCACCCCAGTGCCCAGGGGCTGTGGAGGGGGCAGGCCGCTCCCCCTGGAGCAGGTCTGGGGCAGGCCCACGCCTGGCACAGCCGCGCAGTGGTCCGGGCCGCTGCAGGGGGCACAGGCTGGACCCGGCTCCCCCTCCCGGGTGCTCGCCGGCCCTTCCCCAGCCCCGGAGCAGCGCACTTCCGGGGCCTCCCTCCCCGCGCCCGGACCGCCTTGCTGAAGTTTGCGCACCTGGCCAGCTGTGGTCCCAGGCAGCCCCCGTGCCGCGCAGTGCCCCGCCATGCACCCGTCCCCAACCCCGAGCCAATCCTTACCGGGGCCCCCGGGGCCCCCGTGGCCCAGCGCGCGCTGCCCCCGTCAGCCGCGGAGCCCCGTGGGTGGGTGGGTCCGTCCCGCCCGCCGCGCCGCGAGACTTACTCTGGCCCTCGAACTTGCGGATGATGGTGTCCAGGAAGGTGTTCTGGGGGGCCACGTGCCCGCGCCGGACGGGCATGCTCTCAGCCCATGGGGGAGCGCGCAGCACGCCTCCCGGAGCGCCCACCAAGTCCAAGGAGCGGCCCAGCTCGGGGGCCCCCCGAGTCCGCCGCCGCCGCCGCCGCCGGCCGCCGCAAGGTCGCGGCGCCGCGCTCGCCTCGCGCCTCCGCGCGGAGCTCTGCCGGAGGG